TAATCTACATATTAAACGCAATGAAATCATAAAATTAGAAAAAAAACTAATCTAAGAATTTTGGCCAAATGGACCGCTGGACGTTGTTAATTAATTGGTCGCGGGTTTGTGCATCACCAACGGAGAATTTTCCGGGTTTTCTTCGCATTCTATTACCTAAATAGAACTGAATTTTCATAAAAGTTCTTCAGAAAGACATCACTTTTTTGAAATCGTGAGTTCTCGGGCGATGCCTCCTCCTACAGTCACTCCAATCAGTTATGAATAGTTTTAAATAAAATCCAAATTTGAGAGACTGAGAATAATCTGAAACATTTTATATAATGGATATATCTGGAGTATCACTAAGGAAAAAAAGTTTAAATGACATTGCAGCATAAGCAAATCGAGCAAGAGAATGAAGTTGTAATTACAGGTTAACATTTAAAATATAGAGTAGCCGAAAAGACAGTCAGATTTTTTTAAGAAGAGTTAAAACCACTGTAAAAGCTGCATGACAATGGTCGTGTTTGTCATCTGTTTAAGTCGACAATTAATGAACAACATAAAGATGGACTGAACACTGTTCATAGAAAAAAAACCCAATCTCTCTGGTTAACTAATTTTTGGACACTATTTTAAAAATTTATAAGATAAAGTTAAAAATACAAGTACAAATTTCAAAACTTTATTAAATTTCATAAAAATAGTTCAATACAATATTTTTAAAAACAAACAAACATTCTTCGTAAACCCTAACATTTATAATTCGAACCAAATAAAATCTATTAAATGAAAAAATAATTAATTATATTAATTTACAAGGAAAATTTACAAAGATATTTTTAAAATGACAATAAAATTTTTTAAACCAACGTGAAAAATCTTTTTAAAAAATTCCATTTCTTTGGTTTGGATGAAATTTGTGAAGAAAACCTCACAGTTTCGAAGAAAATCCTGAAAGAATAATAATAATAATAATTAAATTCGTTCTCTTTGAAATTTTTTTTTCAGTTAGAAAATTGTAAAAATATTTCATCATTCATTTTAAATGAATTTAATTTCTGTTAGCTTAAACTCTACAAATATTACATTATTAATTGGATAAGAATAAAATGTCTAATAAATGTAACTTATGCAAATTACAAAACATATATTTTATTTACAAAAGATATTTTTAAATTAAGAAATTTTCCTGTAAATTTATTCATACTGGAAATTGAATTCTCAAGTTTTATTAAAATCATATATAAAAGCCTTTAGTAGTAGTAGTAAACACTGTTTAAACAATACAGGACACATTTACTACTGAAAATCTCGTTTCTACCTATCTCTTGAAACGAAGTGGAATAAAAACTAAAATTAAATTTGACACACACAAAAATTGTGTTTTTGGAATCAGGAGACTTTAAAAACGTTCAGAAATGCAAAAAGAAAGACTCGAATGGTTAAGATTTCACTGATTATAATAAAGCAACAGAGAAAAATACAGTTGACCCCCCATATAACACTGTTAATTTTTCTGTTTTATATGAATTCTATGTTGTACGAGTCACTTAGATTTTACAAATACGTGAGCCGTTCACAGCCCGGCACACACATTTGTAAAATCTAAGTGACTCGTACAACATAGAATTCATATAAAACAGAAAAATTAACAGTGTTATATGGTGGGTCAACTGTATTTTTCTCTGTTGCTTTATTATAATCAGTGAAATCTTAACCATTCGAGTCTTTCTTTTTGCATTTCTGAACGTTTTTAAAGTCTCCTGATTCCAAAAACACAATTTTTGTGTGTGTCAAATTTAATTTTAGTTTTTATTCCACTTCGTTTCAAGAGATAGGTAGAAACGAGATTTTCAGTAGTAAATGTGTCCTGTATTGTTTAAACAGTGTTTACTACTACTACTAAAGGCTTTTATATATGATTTTAATAAAACTTGAGAATTCAATTTCCAGTATGAATAAATTTACAGGAAAATTTCTTAATTTAAAAATATCTTTTGTAAATAAAATATATGTTTTGTAATTTGCATAAGTTACATTTATTAGACATTTTATTCTTATCCAATTAATAATGTAATATTTGTAGAGTTTAAGCTAACAGAAATTAAATTCATTTAAAATGAATGATGAAATATTTTTACAATTTTCTAACTGAAAAAAAAATTTCAAAGAGAACGAATTTAATTATTATTATTATTATTCTTTCAGGATTTTCTTCGAAACTGTGAGGTTTTCTTCACAAATTTCATCCAAACCAAAGAAATGGAATTTTTTAAAAAGATTTTTCACGTTGGTTTAAAAAATTTTATTGTCATTTTAAAAATATCTTTGTAAATTTTCCTTGTAAATTAATATAATTAATTATTTTTTCATTTAATAGATTTTATTTGGTTCGAATTATAAATGTTAGGGTTTACGAAGAATGTTTGTTTGTTTTTAAAAATATTGTATTGAACTATTTTTATGAAATTTAATAAAGTTTTGAAATTTGTACTTGTATTTTTAACTTTATCTTATAAATTTTTAAAATAGTGTCCAAAAATTAGTTAACCAGAGAGATTGGGTTTTTTTTCTATGAACAGTGTTCAGTCCATCTTTATGTTGTTCATTAATTGTCGACTTAAACAGATGACAAACACGACCATTGTCATGCAGCTTTTACAGTGGTTTTAACTCTTCTTAAAAAAATTTGACTGTCTTTTCGGCTACTCTATATTTTAAATGTTAACCTGTAATTACAACTTCATTCTCTTGCTCGATTTGCTTATGCTGCAATGTCATTTAAACTTTTTTTCCTTAGTGATACTCCAGATATATCCATTATATAAAATGTTTCAGATTATTCTCAGTCTCTCAAATTTGGATTTTATTTAAAACTATTCATAACTGATTGGAGTGACTGTAGGAGGAGGCATCGCCCGAGAACTCACGATTTCAAAAAAGTGATGTCTTTCTGAAGAACTTTTATGAAAATTCAGTTCTATTTAGGTATTAGAATACGAAGAAAACACGGAAAATTCCCCGTTGGTGATGCACAAACCCGCGACCAATTAACAGCGTCCAGCGGTTTATCCATTTGGCCAAAATTCTTAAAGATTAGTTCTTTTTCTAATTTTATGATTTCATTGCGTTTAATATGTAGATTAATAAAAACTAATTATTGATGCCATTTTTTGTGTTAAAGAATAGATATACGATTTTTATATAAGGGATTTATTAAGAGAATTACGTTTGCGGTTTCCGAAAATGTAAATACCATAATTAAATTTATTTCAAAAACTTTTTTCTTCTTGCATGTGACATGCTAATTTTGTAAGAAAATAATCAAAAATTTAAATAGTATTTCGTAAAGCCTCAAGGTTTAAGCTTTTGTCACATCTATAATTTAGAAAGAAAATTTTAATTTCAAAAATAAACATCTTTTTCAAATAAATTTGTGTTTCAATAATTTACCGTTCTCGTCCATCAGATCTTCGTCAACTAAAGAAAGTTTTTGCAACTGATCTTCTTCATTGCTAAATAAGGGTTTTTCTTTTGTGATGTCTATCCCCTATAAATGCATAAGTAAAATGGATAATGATATAATTATAATATTAATATTTATATAAAAACATTTCATACTTGAAAATCTGCCAGTTTGTTGCATAATCCATTTAAATTATCAAACAAAGCAGATAACTTCTCCATGGTAAAACCATAAAGTTCTTCCATTTTTTTAAATTTGTACTAGAAAAAATAAATTGGATAATGAAACATTTATAATTTCTCAACCTAAATATCTATTTTAAAAAATCGTTTTTATACCAGAGTCTCCTCTTTATCTCGTTTCATTTCATTGCATTTTCGAACAACGTTCTCCAAAAACATATCATTTTCATTAACCAATTCGACCAAAGAATCTGAAATAAATTGATTAAATTCAAATTTTTAATATAAAAAAATAAAAAACTAAATTAATTAATTAACAAACCAACGCATTCCTTTAAGTAGGTACTGTGATGTAAGGATTTATCTTTTAATTTATGAACGAATGCATCAAGTTTGAAGCAATGATTTTCATATTCTTCTAACTTTATGCGAAGAGCTTTTAAAATATTTATAAATTAATTAATTTTTATTAAATTTTTAATTGTTATTAAATTAATTAAAACTAACAACAATCCGAAATATCTTCACCCTTTTCTTTGGTATTTTTCGAAGCTCCTTTATTTGAGAACTTTGTAAGCAGCAAGCGTATCACTTTTACCAAATCCTGAAAAATAAAGATTTATAAAATTATGTTAAAATATTAATTAGATAAAAGTTAATTCTCTTACTCTAGCGCAATCTTCAAGATTCAATTCATTTATATCTTTATTATTTCTCCATTTGGAAAAACTTTCATCAAGAGAAACGAAGTCGCTGGCTTTCGAAATAATATCATTCATAGCTTTTTTCCACCCTTCCATTCTAAACAAAAATTGTGTGTATATTTTCGAATGAATAATAATTTTAATGACAGATTTTTAAATACCGCTTATGTTTACTAAATATCTAATGACTGCTTTTAGGATGATGAATTTAATATATTCATCAAGTAATTACTGAACACGAATTATATTTATACGTTTCTACCGATTATGTTATAGTATACGGATAAAATTTAATATAAATATAAACAAAACTAAACAAAACTAAACAAAACCTTCTAATTTTCTGGAGAATTCGTTGAAAAACTGCAGAAATCTCAACAACAATCGCTTTTTCTCTAATAAGTTGCGTTAACAAATAATTAATGGCATATTGTTTTTTTTTAATTGTTTATAATTTTAAATATATTTATCAAGATATAAAAAATTTAAATGTTTACACACTTTATGAATATGAAAGAAATATTTAAACTAAATGGATTTGTGCTTTTCATTATAACATAACATATTTCTAAAGTACTAAAGCAGATGCTTATATATGTATGCGTAAGGAAGTGGTTCTTAACCTTTTTGAAATAATGGCACACTTTAGAATACAGTGGAACCTACTTAATTTAAGGTAACCATTCTTGGGACCAACATAAATAGTTACTATAGAAAGATGGTCACTGTACACAGAATACGTCCATGGTTCCCAAACTTATTATGCCCACGGACCCGTTCTCATAGCAAAAACATGACATGAACCCTCAAGAAAAATAACTCTACACAACTACATAATAGCAAAATTAAATATGTAATTTTGCTATTGTCTTGAATGGTGAATGGTAACGTAAAAATAAAATATAAATGAAACATTATGTTTAAAGTAATATTCATAGAAATTACTAGCTAAAGCTTGCCCGTTTTTGAATAATGGGTATAATATAGTGAAAACAAAAAAATATACTGGCCTGTATAATTTATTTCTAATTGGGTTATAAATTACATTACTAAAATATAAAATTAATAAGTTTTTTTTTTATTTCATCTATTAAATTTTCATAGAAAAACATATTTTTGATCAAAATAAATTAATTATATTTATATTTTTAATCATTACATAGTTTTTATAATTATGAAAAACAACCAATAATTATCACTGTNACTTAACTTGCATAACATAATGTAACAATAACTTAAAAATAACTTAGAAAAGATTTAAAAAATTAGTGTTGTTTTATATTTTTTTGTTTTAATTTTTATTCGCTGCTTTTTTGCTTTCTTTCCTTCACTTCCACCAGCACTTTCACTGGATAGAAGTCGCTTGGTAAAATATCTATCCAAAGAAGTTTGGCTTTGCCTACTTTTTAAAATGTTTCTAAAATGACTTAGGCAAATGTCATTAAACTGAGCAGCAATACGGCCAGTGTGAACTTTTTCGAGATGTTTCTTTTCAATAAAATCAGTCACTTTCTGATAATACCTCAAGATTTCTTTTATCGAGAGAGATCCTTCCACGACGAAGCAAACACGCGGACTGAGACCAATGAATAGAAGTGAATAAAAAATGGCGCTGCGAACTAATGTAACGTCGTATGATGAGTTTTTGTTCGTATCGTGGAGCAAAAATATGTTCGAATTTCATGTCGTATCCTGAAAATTCCGTATGCTGGGGCGTTCGTATCCTGAGGTACCACTGTAATTTTAATTTTCTAAAAGAATGCTCTGCACTTGCTATACTGGTAACGTAAAGAAAATTTTTAATACAGTTAGCACCTTTGGAAACAGCTCATTATAATTATTATTTAATATGCATTGCAATATGTCTTGCATGTTATTTACATCTTTTTGGTCCAAGATCAATTCTCGTAACAAACAAATTTCCTGGATTAAGTCTTCAATTATATTTTTACTACAAGATTTTACAAAATTCCTTGAGTGGTTTTCTAGTCCATTTTTTCCAAAGTTTTTATATCAGTGATTAATTTAAAATAAGAAAATATTGGGTATATTTTAAATGTCTCATCTATCTGTACAATAACAGTATCAATCACAACATTGAAAAAAGTAACATCTAAATGCCTCTACAGGATTTTGTAAAGCTTCATCTGCTAATTCGGAAAATAATCTTTCTTTTTCGATTTATTTTTTCAGGGAAGTCTTCTGAAATATTTAAGTCTCGTGCTATTTATTTTTGCATCATCTAAAAATGTGTTAAATTTTGATCTTAAATTTTGTATTTCATTTGAAATTTTATTTACTAAATTAAAAGCAGAGTCTAGAATAATTGTTTTTATTTGAAATAATTTGTTGATACTATTAATTTTTGACAATATTGTGGAGCATATCGATAAGCTTAAAATAAATGATATTTCTTGTAATGAATCCAGTAGACTTTTTAGCTTCGGATATTGCTAATGTATGTTATTGTTACTTGCACCAATAAATTCTTCTAAGGCATTATAAGTATGTTCAAACTGTGTATACACTGCTTTGATTGCGTCTATTTTGGCTTCCCATTAAATATCACATAATGGTTTAAGCGCAATATATAAAAAAGTTAAATCACTTCCCCCGTCCGTTAAAACTGAAAACACAACTGGAGAAGGGCATTGATAAACCCAAAATACACATGTTAGTTTAATAAAGAAATTTCTTCTTACTCGTTAGTCAACTTTTAAATTAAATAACTGGTTTGATAAGTCCATTGAAATAAGAAAATTGATATAATTTTTTCTACTATTATTATTTAAGGATTAATATGTCTAGATTATAATCTATATATATAATCGAGACGAGTTAATAACAATAATAATAATAATAATAATCAGCATAGAGTCCAAACGGTTAGAAGTTGAAAGTTGAAATTTGGTACACAGGATACATCACGAGAACGCACACTAAAAAGGGATTTTCCGAAATTCCTCCCCACGGGGGAGAGGAACAGGATTAAGGCTTAACACTTCCATTGTTGATGGAAGTGTCAACAATGGAAGTGTTACGTAACAATTGAATTGTTAAGAGAAAGCGACATGCAAGACGCAATGCAGTTTTTTTTCGTTTTTTCGGGAAATCGAACATATTTTTAGACCCATCTACTCTCCGGCCCATAATAGACCTTTTTTTCTACCCGACCAGCGGGAAGGTGGCATTGCAATAGGAAAATTAACTAACACAAAAGTCATCAGAAAACACACAATATTTTTTAGAGATTTTCCATGATACAGGGTTTAAATACTTCGTCCCACTTTTTGCAAAATTTGACTTCTTGACCGATTATTATTTCAGATTCGCCTGTGAATGTTACGATACAGTTGATATCGAAATATTTTCTAATGTGAAAAGTTCTTTCTTGTGAGCTGAAGTTAATTCTTTTCAACAAAAAATACTCGTTAATTCCTGTGTATCCGACCAATGAAATTGCCCAATTCCGTATCTCAATATGGAAATATACATGTCAATGGTATGCTAAAATAATGGAAATCATTAAGAGATTCCTTTAGTGTTTCTCGTCTTTCTTTATGGCATATCTGCTACTTAAAAATTTGAAATTTTTTTTATTGATTTTATTGTGTAAAAATTGGAAGAATATAAAAATATCCATAACACTTGATTTTTAAAGATTTAATAATAATGACTTCATATTGTGTTATGTCAGGGGAAAAAGTCTGTATAATACTTTAAAATTTTATTAAATACTAGCAGATAAGCCCGGTGTTGCTTGGGCAAAAAGTAACGATAGAGAATATTAAGATTATTACATTACAGCCAACCTTACCCGTTTTCACAGAATGCAAGAATTAGGTTCCCCTGTTCCAGACTAATTAGAAAATTTTTAGATGGGTCTAAAATTATGTTCGATTTAACACCAAAAAAACCGCATCTGCGCCTGTAAATCTTGTACGTTGCTTTCTCTTAACACTTCCATTGTTAAGCCGGAAGCACACATGCGGCGCGCCGCATGTGTGCTTCCGGCGTTTGCGACATCGCTTTTCCTTTCCATCTTCGCCGCGCGGCTGCAATCCGCTTACATTTCGGTGCATGCGTTCAATATTCAAGATGGCGAACGATACCGATATTGTCGCTATCCACGTGTTTACAAATTTTGTTTTGTACGGCTTGCTTTATTTAGTTCGTTTGAATCTTTGACAAAATCTTCTAAGATTTTTGATTAGAGATATTTTCTTGGATCGATAAAGAACTGGTGTACAAAATACGCTTATTCCTCGATAAAGAATACTATTTCGAGTAAGATTCGGTTGATTTGTTCTTTGAATTAAATTATATATAGATTATTTGTGTAGAATGTGTTAAATTTATTATCTTTCCTCTTTATTCTGATGTTAGTACTCTCGGTTAACCGCGTCGAACTTTCCACCATTAAAACACCACGCGATTGTATTTTCTCACGTGACTACCGGACGAACTCTTATTGGCTGATAGAAACGCGTCTTGGCGGCGGTTGCCGCACAAGATAAAATTCAACCAACTTTTGAGGCAGCAGAAAAGCGGCACAAAATCGACTTCTGTGGCAAGAAAAAGTGACGTCATCCTGCCGCTTTTCCTTGACGCGCCGCATGTGTGCATCCGGCTTAACTGCGTACCAAATTTCAAGTTTCAACTCCTAACCGTGCTGAAATGCTCACGATGAAATGCTCGTATACACGCGCGTCACCTATCGTAGGATAAATGTACTATGCCAGAAACCTTCGCGGGAATGTATTAAAAAACTTCCCAAAGTTTAATGGCAATCGGATAAATGTAGTAGTAATGCATGCGGGACAGACAGACAGACATACATTCATTTTTATATATATAGATATTCTTAAAAATTGTATAAACATTCATAAATCAATTTTTAAAAATTAATGAAAACACAAATTTAAGGATTTCTTCTCCTAAATTCTGTAAATTTAGGGAGGAGAAATCCGAGGTTTTTTTTTTTTTTAAATTATAGACTAGAGAGAACCACAAAATGAAACAAACTCTTTAAAAAAATTTTATTCTAAAAAAATTTCTTCCAAAAATATATATGAATGTATTCAACAGAGAAAAAACATTTGAAGGCAAAATCATAAAATTTTACAAATATAAATTTTTCATGAATTGTGTTAAAAAATATAGTTTCAGGAAAAGCTGAAAACTTGGGACCTAAATAAATAACGTGTAAATAGTTAGATTAAAATCTTATTTAATTATAAAATGTATACAAAGATAAATAAAATTAATTTACTTACTTTAAACGAATAATTGAACGATAAAACTTTAAATGAAAAACCACAGAAAGTCAATAGAATAAGGCATATTTTTTAGCATTTTACATCTTTCCTGAGTTCTATAGGAGGTTTAAAAAAAAAAATGAAAACATCGATTAAAATTTGTTATAAAGACAGTATTCCAAAAATTATACGAGCAAATACTGTTGACCCTCGATTTTACTGACCCGAGACAATGAATTTTGGAAACGATCCAAAAAACAGTAAATTTGGTCCACATGTTTCAGAGCAGAAACAGTGCTTAGTAGGCAACTCTTCGACACCTATTGGGTGCATCTAGGTTACAAGTCAGACAGCCCTCCTGCTTCAATATGTCTCCCTCCCTTATATTTACCTTAAGATTATTCTCGCTCTTAATCTGTCATTTTGTAGTTGAGAATAATATCTTCGGATATAAGGAAGAATTGGCATTTTTGTACTGCACCATCGCTTCTTCCTATTAATCCATTATCCCATAACGAAGGTCAACAGTTAATTAATTTTACCTGGTAGACAATCAAAAAGCACAGACTCTGCAGTAAAACAGTAATTCAATATATTATTATTTTTTTCGAAATATTTTGCAACTTTATTTAAATTATCGTGAACCATATCAGCATATTTTTCAGCATCCTTGTTAGCGTGTTCTAAAGCAGATTTCTTTTCCTCATTAAACCATGAATTTTTTATACGTTCATCATCTAAAAATTTATATTTAAAAAAAAATTTTTAAAAAGCTTTAAATAAAATTAAATTAACTAACTTTTAAGACACTTTTCAATTTACATACCTTCTCTCAAAAACATACAAACTTTTAACTTCGGTAACGAATATCCAAACATTGGCGTTTTAATTACACTTATATTTGGTACTAAGTGATTAATTATGANAAAAATTTCTTCCAAAAATATATATGAATGTATTCAACAGAGAAAAAACATTTGAAGGCAAAATCATAAAATTTTACAAATATAAATTTTTCATGAATTGTGTTAAAAAATATAATTTCAGGAAAAGCTGAAAACTTGGGACCTAAATAAATAACGTGTAAATAGTTAGATTAAAATCTTATTTAATTATAAAATGTATACAAAGATAAATAAAATTAATTTACTTACTTTAAACGAATAATTGAACGATAAAACTTTAAATGAAAAACCACAGAAAGTCAATAGAATAAGGCATATTTTTTAGCATTTTACATCTTTCCTGAGTTCTATAGGAGGTTTAAAAAAAAAATGAAAACATCGATTAAAATTTGTTATAAAGACAGTATTCCAAAAATTATACGAGCAAATACTGTTGACCCTCGATTTTACTGACCCGAGACAATGAATTTTGGAAACGATCCAAAAAACAGTAAATTTGGTCCACATGTTTCAGAGCAGAAACAGTGCTTAGTAGGCAACTCTTCGACACCTATTGGGTGCATCTAGGTTACAAGTCAGACAGCCCTCCTGCTTCAATATGTCTCCCTCCCTTATATTTACCTTAAGATTATTCTCGCTCTTAATCTGTCATTTTGTAGTTGAGAATAATATCTTCGGATATAAGGAAGAATTGGCATTTTTGTACTGCACCATCGCTTCTTCCTATTAATCCATTATCCCATAACGAAGGTCAACAGTTAATTAATTTTACCTGGTAGACAATCAAAAAGCACAGACTCTGCAGTAAAACAGTAATTCAATATATTATTATTTTTTTCGAAATATTTTGCAACTTTATTTAAATTATCGTGAACCATATCAGCATATTTTTCAGCATCCTTGTTAGCGTGTTCTAAAGCAGATTTCTTTTCCTCATTAAACCATGAATTTTTTATACGTTCATCATCTAAAAATTTATATTTAAAAAAAAATTTTTAAAAAGCTTTAAATAAAATTAAATTAACTAACTTTTAAGACACTTTTCAATTTACATGTAAAAATTGGAAGAATATAAAAATATCCATAACACTTGATTTTTAAAGATTTAATAATAATGACTTCATATTGTGTTATGTCAGGGGAAAAAGTCTGTATAATACTTTAAAATTTTATTAAATACTAGCAGATAAGCCCGGTGTTGCTTGGGCAAAAAGTAACGATAGAGAATATTAAGATTATTACATTACAGCCAACCTTACCCGTTTTCACAGAATGCAAGAATTAGGTTCCCCTGTTCCAGACTAATTAGAAAATTTTTAGATGGGTCTAAAATTATGTTCGATTTAACACCAAAAAAACCGCATCTGCGCCTGTAAATCTTGTACGTAGCGTTCTCTTAACACTTCCATCATTAACACTACCATTGTTACTTAACACTTCCATTGTTGAAGATTTAATCCTGTCCCTTTCCCCCGTGGGGGGACTTCAAAAAATCCCTTCTTAGTGTGCATTCTCGTGACATACTCTAACTGTGTACCAAATTTCAACTTTCAACTCATAACCGTTTGGGCTCTGCACTTATTATTATTATTAACCCGTCTTGATTATATATATAGATTAATCAATACAATGCCAAGTTTTATAAACTTTTATACAAAACATGGACATAATAATAATAGTTTCAAAATCACTTTCAATTTTATTTTGAATTTTTTGTTAATTAAATCCAACTTTTTATTTATTATTAAATTTCTTCAAGTAAAATGGATCTAATTATATATAAAATTCAGAATAACTAGAGTGAGTTATTTTAACTTGTACACTGTTAATAATTTATATTGCTAATCCTGTTATACCAAAGTATTGTTCAGATGATCTATCTAAAGGCTATTCTCAGTCAACATCCTTCTATATAATCCATTATAAATACAATTACCAGTATAAAAACAAACTTTTTCATTTTCAGACATCACACTTGAAGCAAATAAGCACAAATTTGAAATTTAAGTTAAACATCACTAGTTTTACATTTAAAATTTTAAATATTTTAAAGTTTTTAAAATGTTTGTGTATCAAAACATTTAAAATATATATCTGCATTAGAAATGTTGATAAATTGAATATTTTTAGATTTGTGCTCATTTACTTGTTCAAAAGTACATATAATAAGATGAGGTGAGAGATGCTTGAAAACAGTTAATGAATGTGCTTTTAAAGTAATTTTGAATTTCTTTAAATGGCTAATTGTATTCATAATAGATTTTTTTATATTGGAAAAATATACAAACATTCTATTTTAGATTCTGTATATGTTTTAATTTAATTTTTTAAAATTAAATTCCAAAATGCTATAAACATGTTTTGATTTATAGTTTACTCATTTTTTGTGTTTTTTTTATTGTTCTATAAATTCAATTTCTTACTTTTCATAGAAAATTTATTTTTAATCTTAAAAACTATGTATTAAACTGATTTTTTATACCTTTTAGTAAAGGGTATATAAAGTCAATAAAAGGTCATTCTAAAGTTAACACAAACCATAGCATTTAATTACTTAATATTTTTAAGGTATATGAATTATTTGCATACTAAATAAAAATTAAAAGTTGTTTCCTATGTCTATACAGTGATGCCTTGACTTACAAATTTAATTTGTTCCATGACGGAACTTGTAACTCAAATTACTCATATGTCAAAATCAATTTTCCTCATTGAAATGAATTGAAATGCCATTAATTTGTTCCGGACCCCCAAAACACTAGAGTTACATGTTTATAAATAAGAAAAATGTTCTTATAAATAATGAATATTGTATAAAAACACAATAGAATGTACTGCAGCAAATTGGTTTTGTGGACGTTGTGGCATTCGCTACATAGATAGAAACAAAGAAAGGATAGAAAATTTGAGAAACAAGATACAGTGGTGCTACACACAACACAGAAGTAAACTAATGCCTAATGCAGGGGTCGCCAAACTTTTTTCATCATTGGCCCCCTACAACTTTTTGAAACCTCACATTGACCCACACCAAAAAGTGTGTGTTACAAACAAAAACAAAAAGCGCTTACTATTTTAATATTATCTTTTAATTTTACATTTTTTACATTTATAGTACAGTACTGTACAGTACATATGTTAATAATAATTTTTGTAACTGACAATCAATAAGATGGATAAGCTTGATAATCCTTAGCAAGATTAGCAATATTCCGTTCAAAATTTGTAAGTTTTAGTCTTTACATCAACCCCCCAATAATGTTATATCGACCCTCAGGGGTCGATATAGACCACTTTGGCGACCCCTGGCTTAATGCCACTCAATCACATGTTTTTCTATAAGCTAGCCTGTCAGACATTGGAAAAATAACAAAAATGACAAAATTACAGCAGTTTTCCATCTTCTTTCTCTTATTTAATTTAATTGCATATATATTGCCAAGTAAAATAAGGTATTTTAATGATATAATTGAAGTTTTATAACAGCTAACTGAAGAGCTAGTTTTTAATTTTTGAGAAATTTCTTTCAATCTTTTTCATATATATTTGTAAAACTTGCCACCATGTTCTAAGTTAATAAAACAAACTGCTAAGCTTAGGCAACCAAAATTATTCTTTAATGTTTTTGGACATTCTACAACTGTCCTCAGCTTGCAAAGAATACAAACCAATTGCAACAAATTTGTATTCTTTGCAAGCTGAAGATAACTTTAGAATGACTGCAAATGTTACTGAATAAAAAGCAATTTCTGTTGCCTGAATTTCACACTTTGATCTTTAAAATAGCAATTATCTTGAATGAGGTATTTCATACTATATTTTCTATCTGTGCACATATATATTTTTACATAAACACTAGATAATTATTTTCCTATCTGTTTCTTAAAATTAAATTGCATATTAAACCTAAAAATTACCAAATGCCAATTTGTGTAATACAATGTAGAATGCAATTCTTAATTACTGTAAAATTAATAGTTTTTTTTATATTAAACAGTTATACAGTTTTCATTACAGTTAATAAATGAGTGAAAATAAAATTATTTTATTTGGCTGCATTATTATATCATTATATAAACAAATTACTACATAAATGCACATATAGCAAAGTTTACCACCTATAAAATGTACCTTAATTGTAGCAAGTAATCTTGTAAACTCTAACATATAACAACTCATTGAATATTTTTCCCTGGAAGAATAAAAATTTGCTATGCAATTAATTGTTATAAACTGCATAAATAAAATTATTTATCTGTAAAATGATGACACAAGATTTGTATAAATATTATAATCTTTTTAATTTCTTCTCAGTCATCATATAATACATTATTTCTGAAGAGGCACTTTTATCAATTTTTTCAAGTCCATTCATATACGGCCTAAGAACTTCTGGTATTGTTACGCTTCCATCTTTATTTTGATGTGTTTCGAAAATACTTGTAATCAATCTCGGTATAGCACATGCAGTACCATTCACAGTGTGAGCAAATTTCAAAATATTATCTTTATTATAGTATTTTATACCTAACCTTCTACTTTGATAATCTGTACAATTAGAAGCACTAGTTACTTCTCCATATAAACCTTTCCCTGGCATCCATGCTTCTATGTCATATTTTCTATAAGCAGCTGCTGCAAGTTCCACGGAAGGCATGTCCAATACCTTGAAGTGAAGTCCGAAATCAGAAATAAATTCTTTTTGGATTGAAAGAAGTTTGTTCAAAAATTCTTCACTTTCAGACTTTGTTTCATTAGCCGTCACACCAAACATTTCCACTTTGGTAAACTGATGAACTCTAGAAACANCTTACTTGTAAAGTTTCTCTTAAAAGCACAATTGATCTACAACGTTTATTGTCTTCCGATTGTGGCTTTTTCGACTTCGAATTTTTAGAAATGGCTCCAGTTTCACTGCTTGGTTTGATCGCAATTACATGATTAGTAGCTGAAAAATTAAAGATTTTTTTATGCATAAGAAAAAAATACGTAAACATATTAGTGAATAATTATTGAAGTAAAATCTGTTAATTAAAGATATCATTACAATGATATAACTTAAAATCTATGAAAGCCAAGAGTTCCTCGTTGCAAGCATTACAACGATGCTTGCAAACATTACAATGATGCATACAATAAAAAAAAGATTTATCATTAAAAAAATGTTATTGTTTTAAATTATAATATTAACTATAGCTTACTTTTGCCTTTGTTCATAATGACTGCATCTGTTCCTGTGGATTTTTCCACGAAAGCAGTTCGCATGATCCGATCTTGATTTTCTGTTAAAGAATATAACTCATTATTATTTAGTGAAGTAGGACGCATTGAATACTCTGATCCAGTTTCAAATTCCTTCTTTTCATGAAAATTTTCTTTAGTTATCACAGCATTAAAGGCCATATTCTTTTATAAAATATGCTTTGTGGTGCTACCAAGATATCAATCTAAAACTCCTAAAAAAGAAATTTAATTTAATATAATAAAAAATATATGTTTGATGCGGATTATTTGTAAAATATATTAAATTTTTAATTATCATAACTAATATTACTTTTTAATAATAAAAAATGTTTAAAATAATCGATAAATTTTACAGTTCTTATAGCATACTTATACCCTATAAGGCAGAATATATAATTATAAACATTAATTTTATGTTATTTAAAGTAATTTATAAATTCAAAATACAGTTAAAGTACTTTTTAAAATATATTCTTACTGTTAAAACTTAAATATTTTCTAAGCGACTTTAAATCAATATTCAGTGCCGAAAACAATTCGTTCATTACAAGCTTAAATAATATTTAAAGATTACGAGCAATCTTTATTATATTATTTTATTTTTAAAAACAATGATAATTATTTAATATTTTATTAATTAAAATAATAAGAAAATTAAAATATTAATACTTAATTAGCAATTTTATAAGATTTATAAATGAATTTGCATCTTATCATGCGATTTGCAACGTTTAGTGAATTTTAAAATTAAGTTATATTATTAATGCTTGAAATTCCAAGCTCGATAAAAATAAATGCCGAATAATAATAAGTTGAATGAAATTTTATAATTCATGTTATATTTAAAATTTTATATAGGCCTACTGTTACAACGTATAGTAAATAAACATTAGAGACAACACTCCCTCTCTTTTACCGTGGATTCGACCGAGAATCCAATATGGCGGAATAACGAGGCTATTTGAATGCACGCAATCGAATGAAATGTATACGAGTATCATCCGAATTAATTTCGGTCGAAATTACTTCGTTTAATAAAATAGGTAATTGTACACGTACGAGTATACTCAAGTTTACAGCAAGGCAACGTTTAGGTCTAATTACCGCGTAATTATACTCTTATGAAAAGTAAAATAGCTTAATAATAAAACATGTCGGCAAAACCAAGCTTCTGGAACCGAATAAATGTGCTTCGCTGATTGTAAAACACTACAGTAGACAACACATTGTAAAAATTTAAGTTTCATTAATGTTACAAAAGTTACATGGTGAAGACAGGCTGTGTGAGAAATGGGTCTCAAAAACTAAGAAAAAAAAAAACTAAATGTAATGTAATGTGAACAAAAAGTACTGTTGATAGAAGATTAATACTAACCTCTAAAATAAGCCGAATTATAAATAAAGCGCTGAAATGTAAGATCTATTCACATATTCACTGTCAACCAAACAAGTCAACGTGTATCTACAAGTTTCTTAAGAAGTAGAATGTGTAGTCATGTTGAGTCATATACAGTTGGATTTAAATCAAATTAATAAATAAAAAGCACGTTAATTTACATTCACGTAATAAAAACGACATCCAAGAATTCGTGTTGAATGATGCTTGAGTCAAATTAATTAAACAACGAAAATTTATTATTAAATATAATTTATTTATTATTTCTCATTAGTACGTAATGTGAGAGTCAGAGGGCCGTCAAAAGTTAGATTACGTTAAGTTAGGGTAGGGTTCCGCCACCAGGTGTATTTTGTCGCATAAACAGCCGATTTTATACTTCTTAAAACGTCAGAGTGGAATCTCGGCATCAACATTAAAAAATTAATTTCTACTTTGTGCTATACTCCCATATGTACGGAGTATATGCGTTTGAAATCTTGCACTTGGCTGTAAAAATGTAAAAAGTATTTGGCTACTGATAAGTTTAAAATTATACATATTTTAAATATATCTAGGCAATCAAAATTATTATGAATATATTAGGAATATATTTTTTTTGTTTGGTTCTAGGATTTAAAAAAATATTTAACGATTCCCCCTGGAAGTCGACGAACTTACACGTGACTCATCTCTGTTCTTAGTCATTGTTTGTTCATTGATTGCTTTCACTAAGTTCTTCATGTAAACATTGCCGAAAACAAAGGGGGGAGTGCAATGTTCCCCATTTCTATATATGTTTTTGATTATTTAATTGTTCTTTCCTCTTTTCTTTGGCATGTTGTGAGATTTCTGATAGTTAATTAATAAACTGTTTTATTCTAATTAATTTAAGTAGATTTTAAATTTGGAAAGGGGGAGTCTCTAGATTGGTAAAATAGGCGAACTTCCTCCTACAACTTCGGTTGTTATTTAATATACAGTTAGGGTTCACCCGAATACATAATTAAAAAAGATATAAAGTAAATAAACAAAAATTATTACAAATAACAGTTTACAAATATATATATATATATATATATACTTGAAGGGGGTGGTCCTCACATTATTTATACCTACAAGGTAAGTACAGTACTACTATTTTGTTTTTATACAAAGTACAGTACCTGTTAAGGTTAGATTGAATGAATTGATATTTAGAGGAAAAAATTCAAGTGTTTTTAAACCGTTATTATTATTGGCAATGGGCATTTGGGCAAAATGGAAAATTGCATTTTAGGGCAAGATGGAATAGTTTCCATGTTACTCGCGCGCAATTATTTTGATTTCTGTTTTCAATTTATCTAACTAATTGAGGATGTAATTGTTTTTAGATGGTGAACAAGTATATAAGAAAAAGCAACAAAGGTTCTTCGACTGAAGAAACTGCAGGTGGCGATGGATGAAGGTTTTGTGTATTATGTGGAGAACCATATGTGGAACCGCCCACAGAGGACTGGATACAGTGTCCAGTGTGTTGTGGTTGAGCACATGAACTATGTACAGACACAAAAGATGGATGTTTTTTATGTGTCAATTGTAAAATGTAGGGATATCCTATGTATTTCATCTTGCCTTCAACCTGAAGGCAAGATGAAATTTTTGACGTTTTTACTTCATGATTCCTAATAGATTTTATACTTAATATTAATTATTTTTAATTACACAATTTTTTAACCATCTAAGATCTCTGTCGAGACTGATTAAAATAAAAGCTTTATATTATGTTGTTTTACGTTTTTTTACATCATAAAATTAAACCTTTCATCCTGCCCTCCCTTCCCCTACTATTTTTCACGTTTGCCAGACCGCAGTCCTCCAGTTATTACGGTCTTTTATTGTTTTCACTTCATCTCAATCAAACTTTAATTTGTTTCGTCATAGTCGTTGTTTCGTATATTTCATTTGCGAAAAATAAATACAAAATTCATTTCTTATCATTTTCTAGACGCAGATTTTCATATTTCGTTTAGTTTCTGTTTTGAATTCTGATCGACCAGGTCGTTCAGTTTTGGTTTCCTTTTCTCTACGAACCACAATCTTAGATTTGTCGTGTAAAGCAAAGCCACAGATCATAAAAGAAAACGAAAAGCTTCAGATTTATATTTTAGATTTTCTCATTGACAGACATATTGCTTTTACTACTTTAATAAAAATGTAGTTTAAATACTTTACAACTGAAATTTTGGTCACTAAGTAATTGACTCTCGTCCACAATATCGATATACAGTAATGCACAATACTACTATATACAGTAGAATCCCCGTACATTCTCAATAACAGATCCGCTAAAACGAAGCAAATATATATTAATTTTGAATCTAGATCTTAGAAGACATCAGAGAATTGCAGGCATTTTCTTCCGGTTCGTCATGGATATCCTTTCAAACATGATTCTTGCGTATTCTAATAGAGATTTCGATATAACAGACGAGTAATACGAATAATAAATAAATAAAATTCTTCAATTTTAAAAAAGGGTTCATTAAATAAAAAAGTTCAGACTTTAAAAATTAAAAAAAAATATTCTGATTATGGTGAGACTGAATATTTTGGTTACATCAAACAAATTAGATGTGTCGATAATGGATTAGATCCATTTTTTTTATTTTTGATTTGATAAACATATTTAAAGCTGAAGTGAACAAAAGCCTTTGTAATTAAATAATTGCATTAAAACAATTCTAGGTTTTATATGGCTTACATGTGTTTTACATAAACTACATTATAAAAGTTTTAATACAGTTTGTATAGGATTAACATCATTAAAATAATTATTTACATTTTTGTAATACTGTGTACTTTTTTATTTAACTTCGTAAAACATTAAATATTCAAATCTCTGTTTACAGTTGTGAATTTCTACATATTTTGTTGACATTTCAAAGATCTAATAAATAATAATAATAAATAATAGACAAAATTTTATTTAAATTGACAAAAGTGGTCAAAGCCGTAACTNATCATCTCAAATATATATTTATCCTCTGTCATTCAAATTTAATAAGAGAGTTTATTAAGTTTTTGTTTGTTATTTGGGTATGGTAATAATTTTTCGTAACGACTTCTTTGTCCTATGTATTAAATAAACTAAAAGTTAGATTATATTAATCTATGCCAAACTTTAAAGTTTTTTGATTTTGTTTTAACTAATAAACTTTAAATTGACAAAAGTGGTCAAAGCCGTAACTTTTTCTTACATCTATGCCAAACTTTAAAGCTTTTTACAATTTTTTTGATTTTGTTTTAACTAATAAACTGTTTATTTAAAAAAAATGTTTGAAATGTAAATTGTAAAAACTTTTGCTTCACAAGGCTTTATACAGTTCCTTCCTCACACTTTAGTTTGGTCATTTTTATAACTTTTTTCTGATTGTTTCTGAGTTTGTATATGTTGTTGTACGTCTATCATTGTCATTACAAGTACTAGGCAGTAGATTATCGTTTCCAATATTTTTAGGTAAAGTGGACCTAGTACCTCAAAATTTCAAAATTCAAATGTAAATAACATAACGTGCATTCATTAATGTAAAACTCGTATTTTATTCCTTACCTGAAAGATCAACTTGTTTCTTCTTGGCGACAACTTCAGCTTTTCTCTCTGATGGACACTGTCGCTTTCAGGGTACTATAATGGTTAATCACGTGGAAGCTGCATTAATTGGCCATCGATTGTGTGACTGAATGATTTTATTAAAAATTGATTTTTAAAATGCTTGTCACATATACGAGCCTTTGTAGTTAATTCCTTATTTTCATGTGGAATTAATTTTTTCCAGCGTTCGAAATGGTTTTCTGGAACCCTAACAATGTGCCTTTTATTGTCTTTTTCACTAAGATACAGTACTTTCCGTTCATAACAAGTTTCACTTTTCTTCGTCATTCTCCTGCCCTCATCGTTTTTCCGATGAATTAATAATTAATTAATGTACGAGTATTTACAATTTGTCGTAATTCTTATGTGCCATTAATTAAAGTGTCCCGTCTAATCTTTTTGCTATTTCGAATTCAATTGAAATGACATTTTTACAGCTGAAAAGATAAATAATATACTGTATATACCCGTATTTTAATTATATACGCTACGTACACTGTCTCTGATAGAACAATGTATACTGATATTGAGGACATCAGTACTAAAAACTTTCTTTATTGTGATACACAAGTGAACACAATACTTTTAATATTTTTATTACACAACACTTAAATACTACAATTAAGCTAGCGTTGTTGGTAAAAATGCTAATGTTGAATTTAAATCTTATTTATTGTTTATTTTAATGTTTTATAATTTAATTAGTCAACAAATATTTATAACAAATTACTTTGTTATCAATGTCCTCAATCATACAGTGACCGTGAAGTGTCTTAAATTCTGTACAAGAACGTTGGCAACTGTAGTTGTTACTGATGCTCTGAAGAATATTAGTTGTTATTGATGATGTTACAAATGCAGAATGTTACAGAAGAGTTTCAGACTATTACTGATGCTATAAAACGATTAGTTGTTTTCTTGAGAGAGTGAGAATTTTATCGATTGAATTGAATTTTAATAAAAAGAATCACTCTTTTATTCTAATTTTTCCAATATTTTTCATTTTCTTCAAAGAACGATTGATACAATTTCATTTTTTCGTAAAAATGCGATGGATCATACTCCGATAATTCCCCTCCAAAATCACTAGGAAGATATTTTGGATCGATAAATTTGTGTAAGGTATTAAAATCCGAATTATGGATATAAATCTAAAATTATAAATCATTAGATCAGCATTAATTATGTAAAATTTTTAAAATAAAACATTTAATTTTCATAAAATTACTTACACGTTTCTTAATTTTATAAGGCAAAAAAGGTAAAACTAATCCAAATGCAATTTTTATTAACTTATTGTTATTGATGATGTGAAATTCTTTATATCTTATAGGATAGGATTTCTATAAAATTTTTAAAAATTAATCGAAATTCTTTTTAATATTAAAGAATTATAAGTAATGATTTACATATTTACATAGAGAGCTGATACTGCTAAAGATATCATTCTTGGTGTTGCATGGAATACTTGTCTTAAAGTAACATCTTTTGCATCAATTATACTTGTTAATCCATTAATCTGCAATAAATGTTCGTTGAGTAACAAATCGTTACCGATTATCATCGTTCGTAACACATCTAATGGCGAAACAGTGTTATGATTCCATCGACCTGTAAATAACAATGAGGTTAAGTTAATGCGAGCTAACATGATTCTGTCAATTGATAATATAAAATTACAGTACTGTTGAATCTCGATTTTGATATAAAGTGATGTCTCGCACTTCGAATTTAATTCATTCTACGAAGTCGTTCGAAGTTGGTATCAATTTTTCCCATTAGAAATAATGGAAAATGAATTAATATTAATTCATTAATCCCTGAGTAATACCCATTTCTATAAACTTAAAACAGCAAATACATATAACTTAAAGTAAAAATAGCACAATTAAATGCCTTGATAATAAACTAAAACATAAAGTACGTAAATACTAAGGTGCAATTATTTATTGTGACATTGTCCCAATGTTCTCCATCTCAAATTAGTAGTGTCTTACCCCTGTATATCATACTTTCCTGTTAGAAATAGAGTCGTGCTAATCATCTAACTCCTTTTAGGGGACAATATTTGAATTGAATTAGCGTGATTTTCGATGCGAACCGGAAGTTCGTATATACCGGTAATTAATCAGGCCTCCTACCCCTAAAGTTTCCATATCTGGTCTCCATCTAACTCCTTTCTCGAGATTACGGAAGGACAAACAGCCAGACGGATGACGTGGGAATTCATAGGTCTACAATTTTTACAAATTGTATAGCCGAATAAAATAAAAACTACGTTTATTGATCGCCTACCGTTGACTCCGGTATCTTAATATAGATGTATGGTTTAATTACAACAGTTGTGAAATTTAACATGTTATAGATGATGTGAGATTTTATCCTTTGTTTAGAATCTTACTTTAAACTCACTACTTCACGTTTTCTTTGAATAAAATCAAATTGTAATGACTTCGGATAAAAAGAGTATCGGGAATATTATGCATTATGACTTCCGAAAATGATATAACGCCGTATAAACAGTAAAAACAATTGTAAATTGGATGGGGACGATTATCATAAACTTCGAACATGTCATTTGTGGTTTAAAAAGTTCTGTTCGGAAAAATTTGAACTGATTGCTGGAAGAAATTCTTAAAAATCGATGATTAACGCACAGCACAGTATATATAACTAAACACACGAAATATAAAGAGAAATGTGCTGAAAACATTCAAGCATAACACAGGAAAAAGAGACGAATTGGACACATAACAGATTGCATTTATGCTTCGAGCACATTTTTTTCACTGCATGCGCAATTCGAACTTTGAAGCATCGTTCGAAGTTCGAAACAATTTTTTGTCGAATTTTGCGTTCGTACTCAGAATCGTTCGAAGTACGAGGTACCACTGTAACCGATTTCGTAAAGTATAAAATAAATATACTTATTACGAAGTATCCATATAGTGCTTAAGAATTTGTTAAGGATTTGAAAACTGAGACTATTAGTGTGGGAGTGGCCGAACCCACATTGAGCTTGCTAAAAGAGTGCCCACAGATATATTAATAATAAGTTCATTTTGTAGTTAGGCATGACATCTTCGCATACAACGGACTATCGGAAGTACTAGACTATCACTTCCTTTTATATCGAGAATAAACAGTAATATATAGTGTTATTGAGATATCCCAAAATTTTGAAACATTTTAAATTAGAAGAGCTATTTAATAACATTGAACTACATTTTCATCCAATTCAATATGTAAATCAAATTATAATAAATGGTTTTTTCTTCCTTAATATATAAATTTTCTTTCATGTTTACTACTAGGCTAAAAGCCCGATTCTTTATCAATTCTATATATTTTCAAAATCTTTGTATAGGAAGCATGTTCAGTTTTTCAACTGAATTACAGTGGAATCTCGGTATACGACCTTAATCCGTTCCTGGTGTTTGGACTTATACCGAATACGACGTATACCAAACCAACCTTTCCCATAAGAAGTAATGTAAAAATGATTAATCCGTTCTCATGTAAAAAAAATGGCTGGCTTTAAACACCTCGCTTTCCTCGCTAGTTTCTGCTTGATTTTTCATGAGATCAGCATGTATGCTTTTAACTTTCTCGCAAATAATTTCTTCCGATACGCTGTCGCAGGCACACTGTTTTTCAGTTATCCAAAGCAAAAGCAATTTCTCGACGTGATCTAATGTCTTCGATCTCTGTTTAGAAATTGATTAAACCCCTTTCGCAACATTAGCAAGTTTAATAATGTCTTTATTTTTCACGATTGTCGATATCGTCGTTCTCGGAATAAGGAATGCAACAGTTAAATCTCGTTAAATCTCGAACACGCGTGGGACCTTCATATTTCTCAACAATCTCTTTTTTTCAGTTCCGTTGTGATTTCAGTCATTTTTTTATTTTTCTGTTGCCCTTTTGCAATTCATGATTAATAAAAATAATAAAATGTTACTTACAAATTAAAATCAGAAGAAATTTAAGAAAGTTATAAACCGTAGCACCGCGAACGTCTAGTCTAGTGTAGTACACCGGTAGTGCTACTTGTTCATAGATGGCGCGTATAATTAAATTAAGTCGTATACCGAACAAATGTCGTATACCGAGCAAAATTTGTTTCGTCCAAACAGGACGTATTCCGAATTGGACGTATTCTAACCGAGGTTCCACTGTATAGTCTATTACTTTCTATTCTCATATATATCATACGCTAAAACTCTCAGAAAACCTACAGGGTGATTAAGTCCGGACTACTTGAAGACAATTCTAGTAATTTCATCTGATTATCATTAAAACATTAAAGTGTGTTATGCAAGACAATAACGTATTGCGTTGTCTTGCTGAAACCAGAAATTTAATTCGGCAATTCGTTTCTAGTAAATAGGCTTGAAGTATATTCATACATCTTCGGCTATTCACACAACGTTTAACGAAAACCAATTTGTTGTACCATTGAAGCTAAAAACTCTCCATACCACCAATGATCCACCAACACTAATAAGCTTCGGCAAAACTTCAGGCTCTTTGCTTTAATCGTGTCAGTAATATTGACAATCCAAATGAAATTTTTTCTCATACGAAAGATCACATTTTTGCCGCTCAATGCCACACCTTTGGTACTCTTTGGGAAATTTCAATCTTGCTGCAATTTGATTTTGGTTTTACCTTTTGTTGTGACTTTCTTTTTGTACTTTTGAAGATTTTATATTGGAACACTTTATATTGCATATCTCGTGCAATTTGACTCGTGAAAATTTTACATTTTCTCTGGGCGTATGACGTACGATTTAGCGTTTTTCACGTGAAATTCATTTCGATTTGTATCAAGATTTTCCAATGGAACGTCAGTATTTGTTTAATTTTTTTTAAATCGAATAAATTACTGATTTAAAATTACATTTGGCGGCAATTACATATGTTAGTATCTATAATTTTAACAACGTTATTGTTATTTGTATCATACATTGATGGTTGCATTTTGTATTATAAAAACATATAAATCAATCACATGTAAGGTTTGTATTAGAAGTCATAATTAATAGACATTACACATATAATTATAGACAAAAGCAAGTCACAATGATTCTACAATTATATAATACTAATAATTGTCAAATAAAATCGTAGCACTTACAAATACGTTTAAAGTTATAATTAAATACAAAATACTACTTCTCTATACTATATATTAGATGTTACTGTAATTATAGCTTATAAAGTATACTCACGTATCATTTCTATACAGTATTTTAAAGCAGAAGAGTTAACTTACGAACTATTAGAACTCCAATGACCCGTCCATTTTGATCGGTATTGGGTAGATAGCCGACAATTTTATCATTTAAACATTTACTTACAGCAGAAGGAGTTAAATTTGTAAAAAAATCTTTATAAATTCTTCTTCTAACTTCATAATAATTCTTTAATAAAATAAATGCTTTTTCCCTATCGAATTTCTTCGCACGCAAAAAACTTAAAAGGAAAATATCATCCGTTCTGCACTTTAAATCTTTGTCTTCTATTAAATATATTAAATGTTTTTTTAATTTAAATTAAATTAATAAAATGTCGCTATCAAAAATAAAAATACAGTGGTGCCTCGTATAACGTACGCCTCGAATAACGGACGCTGCGAATAACGGACTTTCTGTTTGACCGTTACGTGACTCGAGCAACGGACTTGCTGCGAACAACAAACTTTCCGTTCGGCAGTTACGTGAGACGAACAATGGACTTTTTTCGAACAAGTGCGAATGATGTTTCCACTCTTTTGCCGTTGCCAATGACAATCTGCTATTTTTAGGATATATTAGTATTATTAGGATGTAATGTAATATATGTTGACGATTCAAATAAACGAAATGTAATTGTGTAGATGCCGAGGTGGCAGGACGAAAAGAGGTTGTAAAAAACAAACGGAGCGAGAGTAGCTCGTAGAAGTGTTTAGTGATCTTAATTAATAAAGAATTATTCGTATCATATAATCTGGCAAGTTAAGTCATTTATAATGCATCATGGCTTCTAAAAAAAAAAAAAAACGGAAAGGTGATTTCAATTGAAACAAAGCAAGAAATCACCAGAAGGAATGAAAGTTGACAACAACTTCCTTGTCGAATGGGAGAGGTTCAGGAGTTTACCAACGCTCATTATCCAAACAGAGCTGAGGCCAACCGGATCAATGATCTCTACGATGACACCTTTGTCAGTCATTTCCGACAGGTGTTAAAGAAGAAAGAGAAACAGACCACCTTGGTCATGTTTTTCAAGAAGCCAGCGGGCAAAAAACAAAGGATGGAACAAGAGAAGTTGACCCTGCAAGTTCCGGTAGCCTCTCCTGAATCTGACTCCGATTAAAAAACAATAAAAAAGACCCGCTGCAATGTGTAAAAAGTCTGTATCTGTATGAATGTGTAAAGAAAGTGTTCTTCCACCTCCTCCTCACAACATCTGACTACCCGGCATAATTGCTTTCTGCTCCATTTTCATTTTTTATGGTACAGTACGGTTATTTTATGCTGCGGAACGAATTATATGTTTTAACATGTATTTCTATGGGAAAATGCGTTTCGTATAACGGACGTTTCACTTAACGGACATGCACCTAGAACGGATTAAGTACGTTGTACGAGGCACCACTGTATATAAAATGATTATTAGGCCTATATATGTTGTAATGAAAGATTAAATAGAGGAAAAATAATTAAATTTTTGATTAAATTCAATTAATTAATATAAAAAATGAATTTAAAATGTTATAATTACCGAGAACAAGCTCTTTAAATAGTTTAAGTTCTTCTTCATCCCAATTTAAATTAGTTCCTGTCGAACAATCTTTGATTATTTCACTGGAAGTCATACTTTCTATACACTGTTATGCCATTAATAATCTATTTTTACAATTACAAGATTAGAAATCACTAAATCGGAATTTTAAAAATTTATATGTACGTGTTTTTTATATCAATAAGTTTTAGATAATGTTATCTCTTCTTTAACTGAACTTTGCTTTTATTTGATAAGAATGTTAATATTTATATTGATTCAATAATTGTACTTAATTAAATATAATATTAATTCTTTTATTTTCGGGATATAATTAGAATTATAAAACTAAACATGATTTTTAGAAAATTCTTAAAATTCTACACATTTTTTAGAGTAAATTTTTTATCAATATTGAGGATTATTTCAAAAATTCTGATTGAATTTTCTGAATTATTAATAAAAATAACTTTGAAAATGTGATCTTATCAACAGTTATAGTGATTAAAAGTTCAAAACATGAGTTTAAAATCTATAGTGAAACGTAGTTTTAGTTGACATTGCGATTAGCGGACAAAACTCTCATGTATATTAATAGTATTTTAACTTGTATGGAGTAATAACGTAGAAAGAAGGCAGAGATCGCTTAAAATTTTCTATCTTTTCTATTCTCCTTCGTTAAATTAAGCGGATATAACAATGAATTATGTATATTTAATATTACCACGCTTATTTTATCACTGCAATTGTTTACGTTTTGTTTGTGTATTTAAATTTTTCAGTGCCGATTTTTATAGCGAGTTACATTTTTAAATATTATTGTAATATTGTTTACATTAAGCAACAAAAGTTGAAACAAAAAAGCAGAAGGAATTAGAAAATTATCAAATATTTTACTTGACAATAATTCATAATGTCGCCTGTCTAGCTTGTTATAATTGTGGTTTTAAGTCCTACCCGAGGTCAGATTTTTTTTTCCTTTCTAGATTGATTTCTAATTAAACTTACTAGACAATGGCATTTAACACTTCTAAAGATAAATTTTGCAATTTTCTAACGGATATCTGACTTAATCGAACAAATTTTCCATTGCCGAGATGAAGTTAAATCCAGGTTCTACTGTATACAATACATGCAAAACGGCATCACGCCACACTCATAAACACAAGCTCATACATGCATATTTGTACATATATACACATACTTGCATACTTACACACACGTACGTATACAATAAACAAATAAGACACAAGTACAGTCACAAATCGTATCTACACTTCCCGTGTCAAGTATGACCTTTACAAATACTGATTTGGGCTTATCAGTGATTGAAGAATTAACCTAAACAGTTTATTATTATTAAGTATAATATTAATCATAACAAATAATATTATTGTAATTTAATTACAAAGCTTTAAATTACCCGTTAAAACTTATAATTATTTTAAAAGAAATTAAACCTTATTGAAAACTGAAAGCCATTTTTATTATTCTCATTTTTAAAAGCGAATCAATTAATTAAATATATAAAAATTAAGTTAATAATATCTTTAATACAAATTAACATAAAATTAATTATAATTTAATCGCATTAAAAAAAAATAATTAAATGTAGATAAACGTGTAAATATTTTGTAAGTTCATAATTAAAAAATAAAAAAACATAATTAAAACATTACATGTGTTTAGTGTCTTTAATATGAAAATTTTGTTTTGCATTCGTGTAATTAATTAGCACATTTTTTATTTTGATATCGAATTTTAATCTCGAATATAAAAGTTGATACATTTGCTTGTTTAATCTTTTTCCTAATGCTGTAAAATCTAATGTTTAATGTAAGTATTTTAAATTGTTTTTTTATTTAATTACAGTACTATATTCTATATTTTTTTTATTAAAGTAGAAACATTACAAGGATAAAATTATTGCATACAGGCGTATTATTTTTAAGTTTCTCAAGGATTTTAGAATGTTTCTGTGTTTTAAATTAATTTTAGAAGATGTGATGTGGTAAGACTTGATCAAACTTCACTGTTTTCTCTACATAAATTGTGTTAAATTTTGAATAATTTGTTAAGAATAATTTATTCTCTTTTACAGTTTAGGGTAATTTGTTCAACGTAGTGATCATTGTAGTATTTTTTTTAGTTTATTGAATTATTTACTATAAATGTTTCGTAGTGTTTATTGCAATTTCATAGAGTTCTAATATAGTTTTGTGGATTTGTTTGTATCTACAAATTTCATAGATCTTAAAGCTTTGATAGTTTTGTTTTTATTTAAACACTATTTAAAATGTGCATATACTTACGTGTTAAATCCCTTCATAAGGTTTGTAAATACTAAAAACTCCAACGTTTCGTATAGGCTATATTAATCGGAAAAAACATTTATGAACATCCTGTAATTTTAGTTTGATTTATTGGTTTATGGCAAAGCGACACTTGTATTTTTTTTTAATAGGAAACCGGTCCTCCCCATTTAGGTGTTACAAACGTGAAGAAAACCCTTTAAAACTCCACATAGCTAGATGTTGGTAAGGCGCGAATCTAAGACCAATTAATTACCAGTGTTCAGTAGTTTTATCTACTTGGCCACTAGTGTGTGACCGGTAGTTTATTGAGAAGATTTTAGGTTTCATGTCGTAAATACAAGAGACTTGTCTCGCTTGACGTTCGCTTTATAAATATAGCATGGAATTTAGGTAGACCTAATTGTCACGGAATAATATATAAATTGATAGTACAGTTTAAAACCAATTGTTTCTAATTCTAAAGTTATTGCTATTATAGTACGGAACTCAAAGATTTTTAGGAATATAAATGTTCTACTCATTCTATGATATAATAATACGATAAGTAAATTATCTTATATTTTGAGTAGGATCTCTGAAATTTTACAGCATCATTCTATTTTTTATAAAGAAATACTATTTATGGGAGATTTTAATGCTCGTATTGGAGAATTATTTGATTCTCAGATTAAAAATGATAATTCTGTTATATTACAGTGTCGAAAATCCAAATATCACACGATAAATAGAGTAGGAAAAACATTAAATAAATTAATAGTAAGTAGTTTAATTAATGGCATTATTCGAATTTTTCGATAGCATTTATCAACGTATTTTATTTCGAATTGCTTTCGATCGTTATCGAATCGAATTGCTGTTTTTATGGCCTTCGAACATTTGAAACTACGTCAGTAGCTGTAATTTACCTGCAGGGTTATAAAAATATATTTAAGTTTGGCTTGAATGGAATAAACAGTTCACCGAATGCACAACAAGAAACTTAATCATTACACAATAATAACAATCCTATGATTCATTCTCTATAGTCAAATCGAAATTATTTAAAAAAAATATAATTTAAATGCCGAAATTATCTAAATATTTGACATTTTTACTAGAGAAATATGCATTTTATTTGTTATATTAATATTTTATATTTTAAATTTAATACTTAGGAGACGTCTATTAATTACCTGTATAATTTAAGGGGAAACGGGTTCACGAAAAGTACTGTACTGTACATCAATGTGTATACGATGGGCAGGGAGGAGGCATTGTCTACGTGGATGCCTTTTAATAGTATTAGTTGGCATTAATGACATACGAATTTGCTGTCATAAGCCTACTTACTACTCATGCGAATGAACTATCAAAATATTTGCAGAATTTTTTCGTCATTTCTTCAATGTCGGGGTCTATGAACTGCTGTGCACGTAATGAAAAGTGAGGGAAGTTGACAAAACTATATAATTGTGCACAACAGGGAAGGGACCAAAAGAGGCTCAAAAACTGTGCACGTAAATACGTAATTAATGGACGACCACGTAAATATCGATACTGCTGTATTAGTTTTAAAAACTCCAATTTTCAATCTTTAATGATTGTAGAAATATAAGTAGAAATACGCGAATGTTTGCAATATGTGTAGAGTATTAATAACAGAAATATAACAAGAAATCTATAGTTTTGTTAAAATATGTAGATTTTTTCCCGTTNCAACGTTTCGAAGGGTCAGCAGCACAAACTCTCCGTTTTGTGTCACAATCCCAAAAAGCTTCCGCTGTACTTAGTGTAAGCATGTCTTATTGTTTTATCAAATGCGAGTATAACTGTCAATCCGTGTCACTGTGAATTTGTGTGTCCCATACACTCACTACCCAGTCATACTGACAGATCGTTAGAAGAGCGAGTATTCCTGTCTTTCACAGCAAGACAAAACCATCTTCAGGTATCGACGATGATTTTGTACGCATATGAACAAATTAACTTATTTTATTGTCTATTATATTGTCTATTTTAAGAATTTTCTTAACTTTTGTAAATATTATATATATTGTTCAATATTAAATGATATTAATTATAAATGTATTAAATTACAGAGCTGTGTCAAGGGTAGACGTTTTTATATTATTACAATATCAAATTATTTACATTTTAAACTCTTTTTAAAGGAAATACATCAAATAATAGACTAGCTCTTGGCCAATAGTTGACTAAGATCGTGCCTTGTACGACGAAAACGTTCACTTTTAAAATTAACATAACTTTTTTGCTAAATAAACGATCGATCGATCGATCAGACTGTAATATTTACGTAAACATTTATTTTTTAGTGTTTTTTTTCGTAATAAAACCACCAAATATTATAGAGTTCTTACTTAAATTTATAATAAAAACGGTTAAAGGCTTCCTGGTTGTCTCTTCATTTAATCTTTACCTCATATTAGAACGCAAAACGCATTGCAATTGCTAATGGGCTTATGTGTGGTATGTTTACTTCGTAAATCTTGGCATTTCCTACACACTAGCACAGTATATATAAATTTCTCTGTCCAACAATATTTTAGTTTATGTGCATCACCCAAAGATCCTCGGTTTTTTATTATTTTTTTCCTATTATATATTTAATTTAGGACAAGAAGAACAGAAATGGAAATTATATTACAAGTAGGAAGTTCTAAAACTCTCTTATTTAAATGTGAAAAATTACGATGGAGTAATCACAGCACAGTTTTTGCAAGTAAATTCCGAAATGTTAATTCTATACGGAAAATAAATATTACAGATATAGAGGCAGAAACTTTTATAGATATATATCAGTAAGAAAATACTATATTTTTTATATTTATATGACATTTTTAAGTATAGACAATATTTAAATTATATATTTTATTTTCTAGATACGTTGAATGTGGGAAATTCAATCCAGAAAACGCAATAAAAGCTATGGATATTTATATTGCATCTACGAAATATGAGATGAATTCTTTATCAAAAGAATGTGAAAAATACATCTATAATACCCTTTCTTTAAGTAATTTATGTTATATTCACGATCTAGCCATTAAAAATTGTTTAATAGAATTGAAAAATAAATGTAAAGAAATGATTACTAAAAATGCTTCAGTAATTTTGCATGATAAGAATTTTCTAAATGCCTCACCGCTTGTTATGAATGAAATTTTGAAAAATAACGATATGGTTGTTGCTGAGAGAGATGTTTATAGTTTTCTAATCAACTGGGCAAAGTCAGAAAGCAAAAGAACGAAGAAAAGATCCTCTCCGGGTAGTTTGCGAAGAGTAATCGATTCTTTTATCATACATATAAGATTCCTCTCAATGTCTCCTGAAGATTTTATCAGAGGACCTGGTTTAAGTAAAATTTTAAATCATAATGAAGCATCTTCGATTTTAATGAATATTATAATTCCTAATTGCTCAAGATTACCTGTTTGGTGCAATCGTGAAGATAAAGAAAGAGGAACTTTTAGTAGAAGAAGAAGAATTAATTCATGTAACAGTTAAATAGTTATGACTGTATATTCTAAGATTATGTACAGAATTTCAATTAAAATTTTTTTAAATTTTATTTAAAAAAGTTATTTGTGTAGAATTACAAAACTGTAAATATTATTATAGCAACACAGCATTAAAGAAATGAGATCCAAACAAATATTGTGCCCATTTTTCTCCAAAAGCCATAAAAGTATATAATTAAATCAAAATTTATACCATTTATCAGAAAAAATTTTAATTTATCTTACTTTTGTATCATGTTTTTTATGTGGAAGAATAAATTTTGATGCTCAAAAGACTCGTCTGCTGGCTTCTACCTGGACATTAATTACTAGTATTTAGAGTACATGTATCTTTGCTAATTTAAACGTATTAATTTGGCGATAATACTTTAAAATTAAATTTATAATAAAATGTATTAAAAGTTTAACATCATTCAAACTATATATTTTGAAAGGCAATATCATTACCATCCAATTTCATTGAATTTCGAAGACCTTGTATAAGCCTGGTCTATGCTATATACAGTACATATATTTAAAATCTCTTACGCCACTTTTTTTTCAATTTTTTAGATAGATAAATATATTTTACTTTCTAGGCTGTTATATATAACAGAAGGAGTTATAGCGATCGGTTAAAAGCTAACCTTCCAAGATTTTTTGCTTTGTTATCGATTTCCCCCTGCCCTCTGGGCACTAAGAGAGCATTTTTATCAAGACCATTGTAGTTTCAGCCAGGTCCACAATGGAGCGACCGGATAATGAAGGATGGGGTCCGACGCATTCGGGAAAGACCACTCTCCAAAAAATTCAGGGAGCTTTTCTGATTCGTCTGAATTCGTTTCCATGTCTTTCAGAGCAATAGACTGACACCATAATCTGTCATCCGGCCTAATTACCAATGTTATAAATGAATTATTGTCTCAAAGAATACACAATTTTTAGAGTAATAATTATTTAATACTTCATTACTTCTTGTTTTTTTCTATGTTCCTTGGAAAAAAGAACAAAATTTCTGTGTCGAACTTATCATACAGAAACATACGTGGATAAGAGGAGACTTTATTATTCAACACACATTACTTCTGTACAAACTGGTGGAAATGCATTTTAGGCTCTTTGCCTCTTATCAGTCCTATTTTTGTATAATTATAAATTCTGAGTAATGAAATACATTACACATGTGCAAAACCCACAGAAAAAAATAAAGGTTACCTGAAAGAATAATTACTTATGACTCCTGGATAAAAGATGTAGAATTCATACCAAAACAAGAAAGAACGAAAACAAATGAAACTAAAATGAATTACTAAAAAAACATTAAGTAAATTAAAATAAATGTTATTAAAATATGGTAAATAGACTACCCGTGTAAAGTTAAAGATAAAACTTGCAAACATTGTAGAAATATTAAAAAAAAAAAAAAAAAAATACAAAACTATAAAATGAACAAAAGGAACCAAAAGGTTTACATTTCTTAGCTGGCCTTATTCACCCAACAGTTTCATGTTACATTCACAGCACATGTAACATTCACATAACGTACGGCTGTTAAACGGAACGTCAAGCGGCGCAGTAGATAATGAAGGAGGAGGAAGAGGAAGAAAGGACAACATAAATAGACTCTTCTTAATTTTGAAATAATGGTGATCAGATCTTATTGATGACTGCGCCAGCTTCTTCAGTTTTGTATTTTCAAAGATTGTATTGTTTTTGAGGATAAATTTAATCGGTTATGTATTGTAAGAAAACCACAAAAGAGCTTATTGTATCGAAAATTGTTGAAACTAATATCTCAAATACAATAGTAGAGATAACAGAAACTCACACTGCAATTGGTATCATTAAAATAACACTTCTATCATCAAAATGCAACTTTATTACTGGTATGGACACTTATTAGCCATACATAAAAATATACAGGTATCTATAACATAATATATTATGTTTACAATTAAAATAATACAAAAAGTGTAAGATTCCATTACAAAATAAAATTTCTCGAAACCATCCTGTTGTAGAAACAAATTCGCAGAAAAACTGACAACAATTACAATTTACAATTTTTAAATTTACTGTAAGAAAAGTTTAATTAAAACTTTAATCGTTGATTTATTTTAATTGATTTATAACACGATACACCGTGGACTAATCTAGAAATGTATAAATGTAAAACATATTCTTGTTGTTATCGCATCTTGAATACGTTACAACTGAAATTTTGTTCACTACCTAATTGACTTCGTACAATATCGATATACAGTAATGGACAAGTCGATACTACTGACTATATACAGTAGAATCCCCCGTACATTCGTGATAAGAGATCGCTGAAACGAAGCAAATGTACATTAAGTTTTCGCCTGGATCTTAGAAGACATCAGCGAATTGCAGACATTTTCTTCCGGTTCGTCATCGCGATCTGTTCTAACGTGATTCTTCTGTATTGTAATGGAGTTTTTGATATAACTTTCGAGTAATCGCGATAAAAATAGATTAATAAGATATTTGGAATTTTATTATATTGAACTAAATACATTTTGTTGTATTATCGTAGCAGTAATTTTATAGTAATATAAAAACAGTTCGAACATATAGGCATATTACGCAGAATTTATAATTGTACAAAAAAAAGGACTGATGAGGAGCAAATAGCCCGAAATTCATTTCCATCACTTTGTATAGAAATAATGTATGTTAAATACTAATGTATTCGCTTCGCAACATGTGTGTTTCTGTATGATAATTTCAAGATAGCAATTTTGTTCTTGTCCGTGTTAATAATACTTTGTTTATTCGCATTTTTTTTGTCATTTATAATGATTTTTTTCTATAGAATAGGTTTTAAAATGTAATTTAATACAGTGTACAGAGTTCATTTTGTAAAGTTTTGTAATGATTAGTGTTTAATTACTTTACAAAAATATACTGTACTGTATTCCATTTAAAGATAATAAATAATACATTGAAACATACAAAATAATTCCAATTACATGTATATCGCTTTAAATCCTGACAATAAATGCCATATAATAGTATTAAGTCCATTTATTATAATAACAATTCCTATTTAAAAGCTATCAAATCACATATCTAGTGCTGCCCTCTAAAGATTCTATTCAAAATAAATATGAAAAAAAAACAGTAAAATAAAACGTAATTAACGAATAAATAAATAACTGTTTACAATAAAACTCTTATGAATATATTTAATTAATAAGATATAATTAATAATAATAACATTACCTTTTTTATTATAAACTTTTTAAATAATGTTATTTTATAAACATCTATTATATTCCATATAAATTTAATTAATTAATTTTATAGTTAATTTTTACTTAACGACGTTTTGTATGTATTAAAGAAATAATAATTTTAAATAATTTTTATTTTTATTTTTTAAAAAATTACTACACATCCGCCAGGTGGGTTATAGTCGCATCAGCTGAATGCTAAGTTTTTTAATTTTAAATTCGTTCGGTTTAGTTCGAACTTTTCCAGTTCCGTAACCCATTTGTTGGAATAAATCTTATGCAATTTTTCTGTACATGACGGTGAGTGAATCAATTACGTTTACTTTATAATTAACTTACATATTAACATTTTAAACAGACAGACACTTTCAGTAATTAAATATTTATGAATGATTTATGAACTTGATTTGATTCTGTCCATAATCAAAGCCAGATCTTTGTTTATCAGATAGTCTGATTTTTTTCTCCCTTATATTAAGTTCAATCACATCATAAAATCCTTAAATCATTCATAAAATATTGCTTAAAAAACAAAAATAAATCACAGTTACATAAAATTTATATAAATAGAACAGTTTATATTGGCTTTAAAGTGTTATCTTATTCTTAGATGCTTTGGATTATATCCAATGGTCTGATTGATTGACTTTTCTATCATTTTAATAAGAATTTATACAAAATTGGACTGTAATATAACAAAGCCATGCTTTATTTAAGGTAAAATTGCCTGTAAACACATTACATTACATAAAGGAGTTTGATAATAATGGAATGCAGTGTTGACATTCTTGATAAATATGAGACTTTTAAATTATTTAATTTATAAATAAAAAGAAACTTTGAACGTGGATAAACTCCTTTTTTTTCTGTTTAATATTATAAATGTTTAAAATCATACATTAATATGATGAAAAGTTATTGCATAACTAAGTCCAAACTTCATTTAATTAGTAAACTTTATTCTCTGTCAATAAGAATGAATACAAATTGAAATATGAAATTCATATCAGTTTGTGTACTAGAAATTATTAAAAGAGTTAATTTTTGTGGTAAATATATAGAAATAAATTCAAATATATGCATGAATAAACAACTTTTTAAGACTGACAATTCTTTTAATGCTTATGTGACATTATTATCATATGAATTGATAATGTCTTTGCTAAGAATAGTAGTTTCAGTAGTTTTAAAATATTATTAAATAAGCAAAAGTAAACTAGTTTGTTTGTATTTGCTGTAAATAGCATGACTTCAATTTGTCTTATAGTTCCACTTGAATGTGTATAGCGGTTCAAATGATAAAATATCTCAAGGAAAATAAAATATCTTTAATAGAGCATAAAATATCTCACATTTTAAACATATTTCTGATAATATATCGAATAAATTCCTCTTATTAAAGCTCCTTTCAGAAAAATTAAGAAATTTAAATATGAATTATTATACTTATGGGTTCCAAATAATTTAATATTAATTAACATTAAATAAATTAATAGTAAGTAGTTTAATTAATGGCATTATTCGAATTTTTCGATAGCATTTATCAACGTATTTTATTTCGAATTGCTTTCGATCGTTATCGAATCGAATTGCTGTTTTTATGGCCTTCGAACATTTGAAACTACGTCAGTAGCTGTAATTTACCTGCAGGGTTATAAAAATATATTTAAGTTTGGCTTGAATGGAATAAACAGTTCACCGAATGCACAACAAGAAACTTAATCATTACACAATAATAACAATCCTATGATTCATTCTCTATAGTCAAATCGAAATTATTTAAAAAAAATATAATTTAAATGCCGAAATTATCTAAATATTTGACATTTTTACTAGAGAAATATGCATTTTATTTGTTATATT